GCAGGAGCAGGAGAGAGGCAGGAGAGAGAGGGAGAAAGAACACCAGAGAAGCTCGGAGTGAAGACTTGGCCTGGGCCAGGAGGCTGGCAGGCACCTCTGCCTGCTGTGTACCTGACTGTTGCACTACATGTAAAAGCTCAATAAAGCCTGGGAAAGCCACTGAGGGGTCCAGGACTCTCCTTTACCCCATCTGCTCCTATCAGAAAACCTACACTGTTCCCTTCGTGGCACTACAAACACCCACCACAGTCCAAGATCATTCATCAATGATCAGGTGCAAGTAGTTCAACCCTATGACCACAGCAGTCAGTGCTCAACTGAAAGGACCATTTTCAACAAGACTCTCCACTTCAGAAGATGCTAACCTTAAGGAGACTCACTGGCCCTTTTGATCCTAATTCTGTAGCTGTTCAATAATTTTTTGGCGTGAGGGGCCACTGGAGTGGACAAAGCAGCATTAGATGAATCAAAGATGGCAGCTACTGGGACCCTGTGGAAAAGGCAATGGCTTGAATCTACCCATGGGCCACTAATTTGGATTAGATACAATCATTTTGATTTTATCATTCCAATTATATTTTATCATTCCAAATATAAGTTATCCAAGGGCAGTCACATCTCAATTATCTTGTTCTTATTTTCCACTACATAAATGTTGGTTAAAAAATGAAGAAATGAAGGAAAGAATGAAAAAAATAACTTTCCATCCTGAAATTACAGAGGTTCACTTTAGATCTATAAACAAACTTTGTTCAAATGCATTTTTTAAAATATTCTGGCATGCTTTTAGTGACAATGAGTTAACACTTGAGTGATTGGCATCAAGAGGTGAATGTCTGTGCAACCACGACTGAAGACTTGTTTTCTCCACAGCACAACACTGGCAGACTTTATGCTTAGAAGAATAATGGTGTGGAAGAAGGAAGAGGAAGATGAAGAAGAAATATGAATTTGAGTATTTCTTTAACACATACTTCATAAGGAGCTTTCACACTTACCACATAATTTTAGAATGATAAAAATGTACAGAACCGAGTCCCCAAATGTAGGGTAAGGAAAAATGTCAGGTTTTTCTGCCCTCCCGCCATCAGGATAGATGACGGATCCTTGCGTCCTGAATGCATGCCTGATGGCGGGCACCTGGAGTAGGGTGTGGGCATAGGTAGATGGGATTCACCTGGGCTAAGACTGGGCTTTTAAGGACGGCGTCACAGGGACGCCAGCAGAAGCCGAAAGAGAAGCCGAGAAAGAAGCAGAGAAGGCCGGAGAGCCCACATAGAGTGAACACTTGCTGGGGACTGGGAGGCCTGCCAGACTCCCGCCCCCCCAGCACCCCTGCCTGCTGTGTACCGGCTAAATCCCAATAAAAGACCTGCAAAAACCACTGAGGACTCTGACTGCTCCTTTACCCCGTCTGCATGGGATCAGAAAACCTGCCCTGTGTCCATTCCTGCCTCTATACCAAAATTAGGGAATGAATTCATGCACTTGCTATATTTTACCAACTTGCCTTCCTACTACAGATACAAAGCACAGGAAAGAATCTTTCTCTTGGAAAACCCTCCCATGCTAGAACTAAGGGTAAGTTGAGGCCTGTTTGAGGGCAAGGGATCCAGACCAGACAGGCTGTGCAACCAGGGCCCTGTTGCCAACAAGAAAAGAGCCAGAGTAATTACAAACTGCCTGTAAACAAAGGATATTCACCACCTTTTAGGGCTGATGACCCAAGTTATGGAGGTTGGTAAAGAAAGAAATGTAAATCTACCCATAACCCTCATACCTCATCAGCACCACCATTTCCTTCATCCATATAAATTTCTACCAGACGCTGAAAAGCAGCCAAACAGGTGAACCAAATATCACTTTTACTTCTGGCCTGTTTCCTTGCCCCTGCCCCTGCCCCTGCCCCTGCTTAAGTTTAAATAGTGAGGCAAAAATCACCAAAAGAAGTTTAAAAAAGCCACCAAGACAATATACACTATTTATTGTGGAGCCTTAAATAACATCCTTGACACTAAGGAGCAGGCTGCTTTTGAATGGGGGAAAAATCTTCTACAATTAAAAGGCTCTTTAGACCTTTTCTTTTGTACTCCATAATACAAATAAGAAGACATGAGAACCATCCATTTCATGTCCTAGTCCTCCTAACTACATGTGTGCACATGCTTACATGTGTGCACACACACACATACACACCACCCCCAAGGGGTCAAAGTTGAGCACATCTGCACCCCGCTTTCCCTGTTTCCTGTACAGAGATCTGTACCCTATGGTGCAACACCATACTCCCAGTGCCACATACCCCAGTGATCAGCATTTAAGGAATCTGGTTGGTGTTGATGTAATATGAACCATCAACATTACATTCTAGTTCAAAGGCACCTACGACTGGAATAAAGGAAACAATTAGGGGCAGATTTCCCAACCTTTTTTCAGAAAATAGTTTCTGTGGGAAAGAAGGAGGTGGGACAAGAGAGAGAGAAACAAAGAAAGGCAAAAACTGAGAAACACTCTTTACATAATGCTCACAGTTTTGTGCAAGAAAAAGATCTCATTAAAGCTTACTTAAATATGGGCCTCCCTGGTGGCGCAAGGGATTGAGACGCAGCCTGTGAGGCTGTCCGCAGCCTCTGCAGCACGAGTTCAATCCCCGGCCGGCCAGGGAACAACCCACATGGCGCAGCAGACCTCTCCTGTCTCCCCGCTGCTCCCCTCGGCAGTGTACTTCAGTCGATCTGCCTGTTCTGTTCCCCACTCTGTCTCTGGTGAATCCTCTCACCCCCAAGCCTCTAGCCTGTACCCCGGCTCTCGTATGCATAAATAAATAAATCTGTAAAAAAAAATGGTTACTTAAATATAAAAATAAGAGAAAACATAAATGTTAGTATAATACTGTTAATCTACCTATATTATAAACAGAAAAATCATTCCAGATAGAAATATCATAAAAAAACAGAAAAGAAGGGCCTCCCCAGTGGCGCAGCAGGTTGAGCACAGCGCTGTGAAGCTGTCTGCAGCCTCTGCAGCACAGGTTCGATTCCCAGAGGCCAGCCAGGGAGATACCCACATGGTGCGGCAGACCTCTCCGATCTTGCCCGCTGCTCCCCTCAGCAGTGTTTTCGGTTGTCTGCCTGTTCTGCTCCCTGCCCTGTCTCTGGTGAATTCTCTCACCGTGCCATGCCTCTGGCCTGTACCCCCACTTCTTGTATAAATAAATAAATCTTTAAAAAAAAAAAAAAACAGAAAAGAATAATATAATTATTTCCTGCTAAGGGACATGATACCAAATATCTAAAAACCGTATAAACAACTGGTACCCTGCAATAACCATGAAAGTTAGACATAAGTGCTCAGGGTAAAATGCACTATTATATTAAAAAGCTGTATTCCTCAAATTTAGAGGATAGTTCAACTGAACAATAAAGCACAATTTATATTCATTTCCCTCATTTTCAAAAGCAAATGTCTAAGGGATTATTTTTAATTCGTGTTTTTCAAACCTTGCATACTATAAAGACTTTATGTCTTAGAGTTAGCTTAATGAGAAATACATTACTCATTTGTAGAAGTCAATGTATACATTTTTTAAGTATCAGATGTAACTAAAAGAAAAATTAATGCTAACTCTGACCTCCCCATCCTTCTGCAAGAAGGCTCTCTGGAATAGTTAAAACTACTCCCTCCCTTAAACTAGGAAAGGGAGCTACCCATGCATCTTGCTCATGTGAGTCATAAAGCAAAGTCAAGAATCAGAACAATAAACTGAAGCTTTTCTCCCCAAAAATGTAACTCCCAAAATTTATGAGACCTGAAAAATATGGGTTACATTACTTTAGCAACTCAGAAGAAAAAATTTCACTTCTGCATAAACTAAGCCACTGAATCAGGGAGAAAACTGTTCTATTCATTTTTCTGAAGTGTAGCAGTGGGAGAGAGGGAGGGAGGCAGGGAGGTGAGGATGGAAGGAAGGAGAGAGAGTGAGGGGGTGAAGGAGGGAGGGAGGGAGAGAGGGAGGCAGACAGCCTGATCAATGTCCAGCAATTTTGCAGACCAATCTATCAGCCCAAGTGAAACTGTTTTCTTGTTTTCCCCTAATTTTTCCTTTTTTTCATGTTCCATGACAGATCAAAGATGGTTGTAGATTCTTTGTCATTTCTTCTACAGAAAATCCACTCTGCTATGAGCTCTAATATGGGGAGAGGGGTGGGAGTCCTGGGGGGATTGATGAAGGGAGGGATTCTGTGGTTTTTTGACCACAAGAATGTGGCAGAAGTGACTCTGTGAGGCGAACGTGATAACCACCATACTACGGAAACCGACCAGAAGTGACTCTGTGACAGTTTCTAGAACCAAATCCTAAAACGCTGGCCACTTCCACTTCCTGTCTCTTGGGATACTCTCTGGGAGAGTCACGAATTACTATGTCCACTGCTCTGAGATTACCATATTAGAATTGGAGGTGTAGACGCTCCAGGCCTTTACTCTAGCTGAGCCCATTCGCCTCACTCTCCTTCTACCATGCTACACACCAAGCAAAGCCATATTGGACCAGCCTACCCACCAGTCCAATACCAGCCTACCCACCAGACCGATATCACTAAGTGACCTCAGCCAACACCATGTCAGGCAGAACAGTCCAGCTGACCCCTACCCATAAGATTGTGTGGTACAATGAAATGATTATTGTTTTAAGTCACCACGTTTTTGGGCTAACTTGTTACATACACAGCAATAGATAATTGGAACATACTCCTTTTCTCCTGAAGGCTAGCAGAAGTCAATGGCAGCCATGCTCATCCAGCTAGTGCTTGTACTCCTAAGTTTGGCTATGAAGATAGTGCAGGCAGACACTGGGAGAAGAAACAGGATTCTCCTCGTGAGGTTTGGGACAGGGCTTTTGGCCTTTACAGCTTCTAAAGAAAGACGTACTGTGATGGCAAGCATCTATCTCTCTTGTACCATGGGCCACAGGGCCTCCATGAAGTGCCACAGAAGCCTACCTGCCTCATGAGCTCCTCTTGGCGCATTCTAATCCTCTCTCTCTCCATCTGGATCCTCTGAAGTCGAAGTTTCTGCTGCTGTTGCTGTTGAGTGGTCAGTGCGTTGGGCATACTCATGAGCCCTGCCGGTGGGTTCTGAGTGGGGTGGCTCTGCTGGCTCAGAGTGCTGGGCGCCATCTGCTGCTGGTGCTGGTGGTTCATCACTACAGGAGGGAAGAACGAACAGGAAGTGAGTGACCACGGCCAACAATGCCTTATCACAAAGAGACCATCAGAATGTTTTCTGCTTTGGAGTATAGATTCCTGAGATTCCTTCCAAAGTACTTTCCTGTTAATCATTACTTTTTAAATAATTATTACCTTAATTCAATTCATGGAGGCTCAGACACTGGTCCCACTTCTGACTCATTTAGCCTCTGCTTCTGTACCCTGTTAAAAATCTTATTTCACACCCTCTCTGTGTCTGTAGAGTACATTTTAAGGCTCTCAATAGAACATAGTGATCAAAAGTAAATTCCACAAAGGTTACCACAACATATGAGATCATTTCACCAGGACCTCTGAGTGTGTGTGGACTTTCTCCCTCAACCTGTGTGTTTATGATAGGGCTAAGGAGACTATGTGACCCACACACACAGTGATAGTGATAGGAATATCCAGGATGGGACTGAAAGCAACATATGAACACCCAGATCCGAGACCTGCACCCAAGCAGGACCCTGTTAATGCTGCATTTTAAAAGGGTGCCCTAAAGGTGCATGAATTAAGCTCAGAATCAAATACCTGACTGAAAAAAAAGTTTCAAGTTTTGCAAATGGAAACATTAGTGAGAAAAAAAATACATAAAAATGCTAACCATGTTCGTGATCGGGTAAAAGCACTACACACATTTTAAACTTTTTTTTATAAGTGGGGTACAGGCCAGAGTCATGGGGGGTGGGAAGTCACCAGAGAGAGCGGGGAGCAGAACAGGCAGATGTACTGAAATACACTGCTGAGGGGAGCAGCGGGTGAGACAGGAGAGGTCTGCCCATGTGGGTATCTCCCTGGCCGGCCGGGGATAGAACCCGCACTGCAAAGGCTGCGGACAGCTTCACAGCGCTGCGCTCAACCCCCTGCACCACTAGGGAGGCCCACATTTTAAACTTTTAAAGAATTTTTTATTTACCTGCACTAACAAACATTTTAAATATTAGCACGTACTAAAGGAATTTTAAGATCATTTAATAAATTCTATCAATGGCATTTCTCACAAAAAAGCATCTTAAAAAGTGCTGGCTTTGGGCCTCCCCAGTGGCGCAGCGGTTGAGTGCTGGGTTGTGAAGCTGCCTGCAGCCTCTGCAGCACCAGTTCAATCCGAGGCTGCTGGGCGAGGGTCCCACATGGCGCGCAGGCCTCTCCTGCCGCCCGCTGCTCCCCTCGGCAGTGTACGTTGTCAGTCTGCCTGCTCTGCTCTCCCCTCTGGCTCTGGTGAATTCTCTCACCCTCCTGCGCTTCTGACTGTACCCAGTATAAATAAGTAAATAAATATTAAAAAAAAAAAGATAACAAAATAAGTATGATAACAAAATAAGTATGCAAAATTCAAAAGTTTAAAAAAAAAAGTGCTAGCTTTTCTGAGAATAAACTCAATTTTTACTACATTTGGTGTCACTACCTTTAAAAGATAAAATCAGTAGCCAATTTTACTTGAAGACTAAAACATAAATTATTATTCAGTATGCTATGGACATTTTATGCAAACAGATTTTATATAATTAACTATGTATTAAATGTATGTGTAACCGACACATGTACATATTCAAGAGATAGTACCAATACTGAAGATTTTCTACAGACTTCGTTCCCTAATGAAACAATTCCAGGGCAGAAGCTTTCTCCAAAGGCAGGGAGAGTTAGGGTAAAAGCATTATTTTATTTATTTATATGTGCCCTCAAATCTTTTTTGCATTCCCACTTATGCCAGGCACTGGCCTTGTCATTGGATTAAAAAGCTCCTGCCCTCACACGGACTAACAGACCATTGGAAGGAATGTGTAAAGAAATGAGATGGATATTTGTGTGTGGCCAGTGGAATGTAAGAATGTTAGGGCTGCGAGGCTGCCCGCAGCCTCTGCAGCGCCAGTTCGTTCCCTGGCCGCCAGTGAGGGGCCCAAAAAAAAAAAAGAATGTTAGGGTACATTAGGATTAGGATTCTTAAATATCATCTAGTCCATCCTTTTATTTTATGGAAGACAGAAGAAACTGGAGAGGTGAAAGGACAGACAGAAGAACCAGGTTAGTGGCAGGTAGAGCCAGGGCCGAAGTGGAAGCCATGCCTGCTGTCCTGGCTGCGCGCTGGTACACCCAAGCCCGAAGGACAGGAACAATTGCTGGAACTGAAAAGAATGCTCCAAATATAGTTTGCTTTCCATGGCAAAGAAGAACCATCTAGACATCGGTCACCAAAACAAGGGCTTGGGCTCCCGTGTGGCTCAGCTCATAAGCAGTAAGAAGGGATTTGGGTTTTTCTGTTTGTTTTCTCGTTCTGGATGTTTTTATTATTATTATTATTATTATTATTATTATTATTATTATTATTATTGTATTCCTCTTACTTCTTCTATCTGGGTCCATCTTTTTCTTTTTTTTTAATATTAACTTTTTTTGCATCATTGTTCATTTTTAAACAATATTTGCTTCCCCCCACCCCCTCAGGTGTAGTCCCCAGAGTTTCCTTCACCAATGCACCCATGCACCCTCACCTCAGTTCCCTGTGCTCCTTCCTCCCTCCCTCTGATGCCTCTCCCTCCTCCTCCCCTGCAGGATGTCTTTGATTTATAACTGTCTGTTTTTGCTTTCCTGTGTTTTGTACTGTTATTATTTTTTTACACTGATGTCTTATTGGGTTCCCCTATATTACTGCTATAAGTGAAACCATCCGATATTTTTCTTTTTCCTTCTGGCTTATTTCACTGAGCATAATTCCTTCTAAGTTCCATCCACGTTGCAGGGATTTGAAGAGATCTGGTTTGGAGGTTGGCATGGATTACAACTCTCTGCTCACGAGCCAACTACTGAAGGGGAAGGTGAGAATATTTGGAGAACTTGGCACAGATGGAGGTAGAGGTGGGGTAAAAACAGTAAGCCATTTAGCTTCCCCTTTCTGAACTGGGCCCACCGCAAAGAACAAAGGTACATTAAATGATGTGATGAAAAACTAAAACAATTTGGGCATTTTTTATGTTTTTAGCTCAAGAACAGGAAAAAAAAAAGCCAGTCATGATTGATGCCAAAATAGATAAAATGAGAATTTGTTTCTATAGCTTATTTGAGCATAATTCCAATTTCCATTTGAAGGCCTGGGCAGGGTGTCAGGGATTGTGCACATAGTGTTACAGGGGAAAAGTTCTCTTAAATACAGTGTCTTGTCAGACAAAGTCCAGATCTGTAAGCATTTAACTCCTACAACCTCTTTCAGACCAAGAGAAAGAAACTTAAATGGAAGAATGGTTATTATTTCAAGGGACAGTCATATTTGAGCCTTCTGAAAAATATTATTCTGTCTTTCTGACATAATTACTATAGACAAAAATGATGTCCAATTGTGTCTATAGGATAAATGTCTAAATTGAATATTTCCAATATCAAAGAGACTTGAAAAGGTTAAATTTTTTGGTTATAAAGTTCAGAGACTATTAACTCTATGTTAATTCTTACAACTAAAATACTTTGAAATATGAAAAAATAACCTGACTTGTATCTGTAACTTACGGACAGGACAATCCATTGGGGCAGGGCTATCTTTGGTGACCTGGGATGTTCCCTGTCAGTGTACAAAATGCTACACCCGTTTGCTCACAATGTACTGTTACTCAACCCGCATGAGGCAACCAAATACTGCTCAGCAGATTTTATTAATGTTTGCATACTTATCTGGGGGAGTTTAAGATTTGAAGAAGAGCTCTCCTACCCTGCTGGCCTTCAAAAGAGAAGCCTTCAGAGCTGTCCCTGGGAGGGGTGGTGAAGATGCTGGTTTCCTCCACTTAATTTAGATGTGAACATTCAGACTAACCATCTCTAGTTATTAAGTGTAGAGACTGGAAAAGAATAGCACTTAGACAATAGTTTTATTTTCAAAGTGAAGCCCTCTATACAGAGAGAGAGAGAGAGACAACAATAAAGAGATGTGTATGAGGATACCAACCACAGTATTGGTCTATTCTGGCAAAAATTAAAAATGATATTCACCAATGAAAAATTAGATCCATTGAGAGGAATTCTATGTAACCATTACAAAGATGAGGGCAATCACTAAGAAACACTGGTTAGAGGGGGAAAAATCCAAAGGACAGTACTATATGTATGTGCATGCTACTACTTACAGGTAGAAAAGTGGAGGTTGGGAGGTTATTGTACACCTATGTTAAATCTCTCCAGGAAGACACGCAAGAAATGCAATAATACCACTACATGGATGAATCTCAAATGCATTATATTGAGTGAAAAAAAAATCTGGTCTCAAAAGATTACATTAAATTCCATTTATGTGACCTTTTTGTTTTTTTTTTAAAGATTTATTTTTTATTTATACAATAGCTGGGGTACAGACCAGAGGCACGGGAGGATAAGAGGATTCACCAGAGACAGAGTGGAGAGCAGAACAGGCAGACCGACTGAAAGCACTGCTGAGGGGAGCAGCGGGCGCGACAGGAGAGATCTGCCGTGCAATGTGGGATCCCCTTGGCCGGCCAGGAATCGAACCTGCACTGCAGAGGCTGCAGACAGCTTCACAGCGCTGCGCTCAACCTGCTGTGCCACTGGAGAGGACTTTATGTGACCTTATGAAAAGCAAAATATGAGGGAGAATAAATCACAAAGGCAAGGAGCTGATTATGATGGTGATTTGAATTTTTCCATGTGTTAAAGTTCACAGAACCATATAACAAAATAGTCGATTTTACTGTATGTTAATTTTAAATAAATTAGAAAAATAAGATATGGTAATAAAATGTGCTTTTGGAGAGGAAAGGGATGGTAGGAATGGGAGGAGATCTTCCTTTTCCTCTTCTGAAACACTGTTCCAAGTATTCCTTTGTGCCTTTATTATTTATGTAAGACATAAATAAAAAGATAAAATAAAAAGCATAAGCATAAGCATGATCATATATGCATCAAATTCAATATTTTCTTGGTGGAAAGAAAGAAGGTAACTCTAAGATTA